GTAACAGGATTTAGATATATGAAATTTAATTGTATTCTTCATCTTTTATTTTTATTTTTTTTTAATCCTTACCCGAGGATATTTTTCCATTTATCTTCAGACAGAGTATGAGAGAGGGAAGGTGGGAGGGAGGGAGGGAGGGAGGGAGAGAGAGAGAGAAACATCGACTAGTGCCTCCAGACCAGGGCCAGGGACAAATGGTAACTGAGGTACATGCCCTTGACCGGAATCAAACCTGTGACTCATTGGTCCTCTGGCCGATGCTCTAACCACTGAGCAAAACTGGCCAGGGCTGTATTCTGCATCTTTACCAGTATCTTATTGGTTTTAGCTATTATTCTATGAGAAAATGTGTTTAAAAATCATACAGTAGTAGTGTGGATTTGTCAGTTTGCTCTTGCAATTATGCTGATTTTTAAAAACCTACATTGAGCCTATGTCCTTAGGTGTTTACAGGTTTTTATAGCTCATTGATTCTCTAGGGTTAATAGGCAGTTTTGCCTTATTTTAATTGTTATTAAAATCCCTATTGTGGCTTTCTTAGACTAATTCTTGCTGGTATGTTTCTATTTTATGGTTCATTTACTTTCAGGTTTCCTTGCTTTATGTTTTAAGTGTATCTCTGGTCAATAGCATAAACCTGAATTTATTAAATTATTGGGTTTTCCGTTTGGAATCTGAGAGTCTTTGTCCATTGTTTGATTAAATACATTTATATTAATTGCGATTATGTATATATTTAGATGAATTTACAATATTTTATTTTCTATTTATTTTCTCCCATACCTTCTGCTGATTATTTCAGTGTTCTTTATAAATTATGCCTTTTTCCTTCATGGCTCCTAAGAGATCTTCTGTTATGCTCATTGTTTTATAATTTAATAATACTGTGAGGAGAGATGGCGAACTCTCCTGCTTGCTTGGGCACTCTGCAGACCTTTGTGTGGAGAGCATAGACGGAGCATGAGGGTGTCTTCAGGATCACTGTAGTCCAGCACTCCCGTGGCACAGGGCGAAGCCTGGGGCCTGGAGAGGACACCAGGCCTGCCCAGGGTCTTCGGATGGAAAGTACGCCTGTTCCTCCGCCGCGTTTGGGAGCCTCAAGAGTCTTGATTCTCATTCCTGAACTTCCCTGGCCGGTTCCCTTCCCAGTGAGAGTGTTTCCATAGTTCTCCCACCAGAGTAATAACGTTTCACACACTGAAGTTGCTGAATAAACAGGTGCTTATTTTCTCTTTATCAAGATGTTATTCTGATCAAAGACAAGTTTTTTCCCCTTCCTTTTTGCCCTCTGACATAAAAAAGCAAGTCCCATGGAATATACTCCCTCTTCTTTTAAAAAAAATTAAATACCAGTGATTATCATAGCTGTATTCATTTGTATATGCATCCATTTATTCTTTGAAGATGTGTGTGTGTATATGTACACACCTGCATACAATCTTTATTCTGTGCAACTACTTGAGGATAGGGTGTTGTGGAAGGTAGAGAGAGATGAATGTAAAGAGATGTTTTCATTGTAGAGCTCATCGAGAGATATAAATGTAAAGAGGTGTTTTCATTATACAGAGGAGATACATATAAAGAGGTAATTGTAATACTACATATTTCATGCTATAAAAATTTTTATAGTACTATAAAATTAAAAATAGAGAAGTGTTCATTTTCCCCGAAGAGTCTAGGAAGAACTTTATATAGCAAGAGATTTCTGAGCAGAAAATAATCTTAAAGGATGAGCATATGTTAAAAGGGGATATCATGAATAGGGGAAACATGAGTGCAAAATCTTGCAAGTATAAAAGTTTGACATTTTAACGTAGGAAAACCTGTGAAGCCAACATAGAGATTCATGGCAGGGAGGCTTGGCCAGAAAGGAGGTCGGCAAGTTCAGGTCCTGGTTGCGAAGGGCAGGCTACAACAGGAATGGCGTGTGGGTGTTCTCTGTGAGATGGGGGCTTTCGCTGGCCTATATAAAGCAAGAGAAGATACCCAGGTGTGCATTTTAGGAACAGCCTTAGCAATCGAGGTGAGGAATTAGCAGCCAGGTCATAGATGGGAGGCGCTGATAATAGGCCGTCAAGAAATGTAGAGCCCGATGTAAGGCCCTGCCAGTGGGGATGGAGGGAGGGCAGGGGGCAAGGTGGGATTCCAGAGAGACTGAAGGCAAAAGTCAGCAAGACGTTGATTAGATGTTGAGACTCAGAGAAAACTCACAGCTCAGATTTGTCTTAGGCCATTGAATGAACAATAACTGTATTAATCCAGAAGAAGTAACTTAGAGGTTCGCTTGAGGAAGATAGCGAGTAGGTTAGTGGTCCTCTGGAACCTCTAGATGGGGACTGAAATAAGGATAATGATAATAGGTAATATTTCTTGAGCACTAACTGCCATTCTCCTTTGAGAAATAAAGCTTAACAATCCACATAGAGACATATTGATTGGAAAGAATCCACTGATATCAAGTTAAAAACAAGAGCACTCTGCGTCAGCATTTCTGGAAACCCATACAGAAGTGTGTACAAGAGAGGCAGTTGTGATCTAATCAGTTAATCTTGCCTGTAGCTGTTGTCATGTGGTGTGTGTGTGTGTTCATGACCATGTCTGTTACTAATGGTGAGTCATTCTTGTAAATAAATATTAATATGTTTATACATGTAGTATATTTATACAAATGCCACGGGTAGTATTCTAAGAAATAAGTTTTAGAAGCAGAGTAAGTCCATAGCTTGGTAATTCTGATGCATGAGTCTATGTAATGTTGTTAATAAAGGGGATCCAAATATTACATTATTCAAATATTGCCCAGGAGTGTTTATTGCTGTTTTTTAGTGTTTGAATATTTGCTGTAGACTTCAGTTCTTTAATAGTAGAAATGCAAAGAGAAGAAGATGGGAATGTTGCTGTAGAATACACTGACATGAAAGCACATATGGATTTAAAATCTGAATTGGCAAGAGCAATATCTATTTCAATTGAAAATCAGGGCAAACAGCAAAATATTTTCAATGTTAAAAAAAGGAAATGAGCCAATACAAAGTGGTATGCATTCTAATGTCTGCCTTGAAGGTTCTTCGACCTTCCTTCCTTCCTTCCTTCCTTCCTTCCTTCCTTCCTTCCTTCCTTCCCTCCCTCCCTCCCTCCCTCCCTCCTTCCTTCCTTCCTTCCTTCCTTCCTTCCTTCCTTCCTTCCTTCCGATATTTCTCCTTTTTCCCCCATTGACACCCCCCCCCTCCGCCCCAGCATTGTTGTCTATGTCCATGATTATGCATACATGCATATAAGTTCTTTGGTTTACCTCTTCCCTTCCCCTCATATTTCTCTTCTGAAGTTTGTCAGTCTGTACCCTACTTCTATGTCTCTGGGTCTATTTTGTTTGTCAGCTTATTTTGTTCATTATATTCCACAAATAAGTGAGATCACGTGATATTTGTCTTTCTCTGATTGGCTTACTTTGCTTAGCATAATACTTTCCAGGTCCCTCCATGTTGTCTAAAGGATAAGAGGTCTTTCTTTCTTGCAGCTGCATAGTATCCCATTAGGTATATGTACCACAGCTTTGGACATTCGCAATGGGTACAGCTTCTCTCCCTGGTCATTCTTCACCTATAACTTAATTCAACTTTAACATAAAAATGAGATAAAATTTTCTACATCTGGAAAATTTGGTATGAAACAAAGATCATGACTGTAGAATAGTACACTTAATGCTGTATTGTTTTAAAGTTTTCCTTTAGAATTATAGAGTTTAAATATAAAGCTTTTGTAATATTATCTGTGAATATTGAAACAGACTTTAATTTGGCATTTATTTTTACCATTTTAATTATCAAATGTTTGTATCAGTTTGAGATAATGTTTTACATATTATTGAAATATATAATTTCTCCAGAGTATGTTGATTCAGCTAACAACAACCCATGCATTAATTATTATTATTTTCTACAAAATACTTCTGAAACTTATGGAAGAAATGACTCTGTTTATTATTATGGTCATTCATTACTATTTTAAAATACATAAATCCTATAAAAATTTAGAGTGATTTAGGGTTTAGGAATTTCTATCTCTCAACCTCAAATCCTGAGTATTAATATCTATTGGGAATTTGGAGACAGTCAACATTTTCCAAATTTCTTGACTTTTTTTTTCTTATGATTCAGAAAAATATGCATTTCCCAAGTAATGCCAGGAAAGAATTTCCATTGGGGAGCCTTGTCAGGCACTATACTAAGCTTATTTAGTCTAAACACTATCTTATTTAGTCCTCACAGTGACCTATGATGTTGGTAGCTCCATGTCACACATAAGGAAACGAAAACATAGATGAAGAGGTAACACATTCGAGACCATGTTTCTAGTAGGTGATAGGGCAGACTGCAGCCCAGGCTGCCTGAGTCTAGAGCACATCCAGAAGTAGTTCTGAAACTAAGGAGAGAGGATGGACGTGAAAATGTACACATTTGTTCCTCTCTAATTCTGAAGGGCACAGTGCATAGCTCCTGTGGGATACAGTGTTGCTGCAAACAGAAACAGTGGGGCGTGATGTCATCGTGCTTTCAAATTATGGTTCCACACTGTTGAACTTTCCCTGTTCTTTCCAAGAAAGAAGATCAAAAGGACATTTATTCTCTAACTTCATTTCAACAAATTGCTTCCTTGCCAGAGCAGGCCAAGTGCAGAGCCAGATGGAGGACTCCAGCCATCTCCTTTCTGAAAGGCCGGGTGCTTGTGGCCAGAAGCAGTCCGGTGCCTGCTGAAGGGGTGCTCAGCTCCACTCTGCCTTACCTGCACAAACAGCCCTTGTATCTCCAGATATTTACTGTGATGTCAAGATTCTAGTCTTTAAAATTCACGAGTCAAAAAAAAAAGAAAAAAAGATCTTTCTACAAAAGAAAGCTACTGATACCTCTTTAGTGTTTTTCTATTTTTATGGTCTTATCTTCTGCTGCTTTCTTAATTTCCCCCCCTAAATCCTAACTTGATTGTTATTTTTTTGACAGACCAGGTCCAAGGGACAGTCACCATCCGGAACATCAGCACTCTGTCTTCAGGTTTGTACCAGTGTGTGGCTTCTAACGCCATAGGAACCAGCACCTGTCTTTTGGATCTCCAGGTGATCTCCCGTAAGTCCCTAAAATTCTGATATCCACTTTGGGTCTGAAACACCAAGACCGTTGTTAAACTGGGGAATGCAGAGTGATGCTTACTTGTCTTTAGGTTGTTTGAAGATTAAATAGAAATTCGTTTGGCTTTAATCATTACTGAAAATATTTTATAAATGTATTAGTGTACTTTTCTGCCTCAGCAATATGACATCATCTTTATGATAAAATGTCTTTCTCTTCAGAATCATTAGAATTAAATCAATTCTGATTGCATAATGCTCTAGACATTATACAATTTGTAATGATTTATGGCCAAGATAAGACCTTCTTGTATTTTCTCCAAATCCCATATATCGGCCTAATTGTTGGGTGCCTTGTTCATAAATAAGCAGCGTAGAAATTTTCTCTTCATTTGAGAATTCTGGGTCATTTGAATTCTAGTTGCAAAAGGGAGTGATCTGCCTGGGATGAGGTGGTAAGTCATCCCACTGATTGCTAGGTTCCCGTGGGGCAGAGTAGGCAGGTTGGACAGCACCGAATCTTTCCTGCTCTGCGGTGGGCATGGCTCTTCTGAAGCTGGGAGGCATGTAGCTGTTCCTTCCCTAAGTAAATGTGAGCCTACTGTGTGTCAGTCCTAGCCACTGGGAGACAGAAAGATAAGGGAGGTTTAACCTTATATGGATGCAATACTTTAGGCAGTTTTGTACATTTTAAGAAGATTCTTCAATAAACTGATATATTTATAAAGTTGCACAAATATATATTATTTCTCTTTCTTTCTCTTTAACTTTTTTTTGTTCTTTAAATATACCTTAAATATATTTTGCAGCCCAGCCCAGGAACATTGGACTAATAGCTGGAACCATTGGCACTGGGGCAGTTATTGTCATTTTTTGCATTGCACTAATTTTAGGGGCATTCTTTTACTGGAGAAGCAAAAATAAAGAGGAGGAGGAAGAGGAAATTCCTAATGAAATAAGGTTTGTGTGTCGGATAATTTGTCCTGTTTAGCCAAGGTCTGTGTTGTTATTCAGTTGGGAAACTAAGATTTATTTGCTTATCTTATGACTGTGATGGCCAATATAGTTAAAATGGTTAAATGATATTTTCTTGTATGTGGTATCACTTTTCCTCATGGTACTAGTCAGCTTTATTTACTGGATCATGAAAAGGGAGGACACAAGTGAAGAATGCCTCTTTTCCCTCCCATATCTCCAGGGTGAGTGGGGTTCGGTGGCAGCCACAGTAGAAAAGTTAGACTAGAACTTGTGTTTAACATTGACACGTACTATAGATGAGAACATAAAGCGAGAAGGAATACCACAGGAGCATACTGGTACCTGTACACGGATAGGCCAAAGCAGTGTGGCTTAGTGTGAAAGGCAGTTCACTCAACAATGTGAACATGTTAGGAAAACAATGTCAAAATGACCTTTGAAGAAAATGGACTCTTGGCATGTTGTGAAGATGTGGGGGTTCAGACTCAGTCTCAGATTGCGTCACGTCACATCCTTACTGAAAATGCTTTAATGACTTAGGACTGTGTCTACTTAGCATGATGCACACAGCCCTTCCGTGTCTGACCCTCATCTGCTCCCTGGTCTTGCCTCCCATCGCTTCCCTGATCACTGTGTTCTGACCTACTCTGCATTCTCTCACGCGTCAGGTCCTTTGCTCAGGCCTCTGCCCTCGTCCTGGGATACACTCCTTCCTCTTTTCATCCATTTCCTCAGTAAATTCCTTGATCTGATTCAAGACCAGCCCAGCATCGCCACCTCACATAAGTTGACTTTAGCTCTTTGCCCAACCTTGCAGACTTGCAGAGGTTCGTATATTGATGATCGTCACCCCCATTTGACCGCAGGTTTCTTGGCTATTGGAGCTGTGTCTTTTTTACATAAAACATCTAGTGGAATGGTATTCAATAAATTTAAATGAATTATCCTTTTAAATTAAATTAATGAGTTCTCTTCGCCTCTTCTAATTCTTAAGGTATTCAGGGACTGATTTCATCCCAACATGAGATTACTAAGGAACACTTTCCAGCCCAGCACAGTGATTTCTCAAACCCAAAGTGCAGTGAGACCAGGCCTCCTCTAACCATTTCTTGAAGTTCTTCACACCCATAGCTTGGTTTCCTAGCTATTTTATAGCAAATAGCTCAGTGGAATCCTTCATGGACTAGTTTCCTATTTAGAGCAAGTATGCACAGAGATTTTTTTTTTTTTTTAAAGTTATATTGGAAGACACAAGTCTTTGGGAGATTTGAAATGACCCTTTGTAGTCTTGGAGACTGAGACGCTGAGGAAACGTTTTGGGGCAGTGTCTCCAAAGGAATGAGTGTTAAAGCAAGGCCATCAGGACTGCTGTGGTCTTTAAATATACCTTAAATATATTTCACAGACCTATTCGCCTTAGTGTGGAAGAGAGAGTCTTGGCAGGGTAGACCTGAAGGAAAGCCTAATGGTAGCTTTATTTTGTTCCTTTTCAGAGAGGATGATCTTCCACCCAAATGTTCTTCTGCCAAAGCATTTCACACTGAGATGTCCTCCTCAGAGAACAACACGTTGACCTCCTCCAATACCTACAACAGCCGATACTGGAGCAACAATCCAAAAGTTCACAGAAACGCAGAGTCATTCAGCCACTTCGGTGACTTGCGCCAGTCTTTCTCCCTGCGCTCAGGCAGTGCCAACATCCAGTCCGTCTGTGCTAACGGGAACTACCTGGTCCCAGCTCCACAGAAGACTCTGGTAGTGACAGCCAACAGAGGCTCCTCGCCGCAGGCCGTGCCCAGGAGCAATGGCTCGGTCAGCAGGAAACCTCGGCCTCAGCACACACGCTCCTACGCGGTCAGCCAAGCAACCCTGGAGCGAATCGGCGCCGTCCCGGTCATGGTGCCTGCCCAGAGCCGGGCTGGGTCCCTCGTGTAGGAAAAGAGCGGATAGAGTGTTCAGGAAAGAACCAGTGCAGTGCCCTGTGCAAGGGGTGGGTGTGGTGGGTGAGTCCTGGGAAGGCAACACTCTTCTTATCGTGATACCAGTAAAAAGCACAAAGAAGTCTGATGCTGTTACCTGGCCACTAAGATTTGTGAAACGAACCAGAATATCTATCCTGAGACTTGTTTCCCCACCACACATGTCCAGGATCCTTCTCAGTAAGCTGGATCTCAAAGAGGTGCCAAGCCAAGAAAAAGATGTAAGAGCCGAGTAGCATATAAAATCTAAACTGCAGTCCAGACGGGTTTGTTCTTTAGCTCATACCTAACAATAATTTTTCCAGAGACTCAAGTGCCAGATGGAATTTAGTAATGAAATTGTTTTAGAAGGTGGGTGTCTTTAGAAAAAACAATGAACATCCTGGGATATCTTCCACCTCTTCCCATTCCCTCGTTATGTAGAGGGCACAGGGCATGAATGGCTAGTATTTGTCCCAGCAGGGCTGGCTTATAACACAGAATCAAAACTTTTTACACAAACAAAATTCATTAAGAAATGGGGGAAAACAAAAAAAAATCTTCCTTGGGGAGCCCATTCATATTTATTTCTGATCCATAAATTTCATATTTGGAATATTGCTCTTGACAGATTCTTGCCTGTCTGTGTTTTTCTAGGGTCTGCTACAGGTCCATAACAATTACTGTTATTTCCTGCAAAAGTTATTATTATTTTTTTTAAAGAAAACGATTCGTTTTTCTAAAAAATACTTGAGAGGCATTAGACTAGAAAAGACAAGACTATTGTTGACACCATGTTCAGTGACTGTTCATTGGGCCTGCCCAAGGTCCATCACAAAGAGCTGGGTGGTGGGGGCGGCACAGGAGCAGGAAGGCAGGTAGGCCTAAGGGACTAGGTTCCTGGCAGCCTGTCAGAGCAGGCTTCCAGGTCGCCCTGCTGTCACACAGGGCTCCTCTTAATGAGGGCAGCAGCACCTGGTGCCTTTTGTATTGAGGTAGATAACTTTCTCCTTGTTTGACAAGTAGAGGTCAATAGGTTCTTACAGGGCTGGAGTTGTTTTGTTTTTGTTTTTTTCCCAAATAATTAGTTTTGCAGAAGATGATACTGAGACAAAAAGTATGTGTCTTCATATGACCCTGGGAGGGTCTGCCCTATATTTGCCAGAGCTCAGGGTTGCAATTGTGTCCAAATGCATTTTACACCCCTGTAAAAGAGACTCCTTTTGTGATTAATTACCTGGTGTGGCTGGCCTTGGAGTTCACCAGATAACTTACAACCTCCTCACTCTATTGTGCTCTGTAGATCTGACCATACTTGGATTGGTGACTATCTAGCCTTAATCACACTTTACCCAACACACAAATGTTCTCTTCCCAGACTTCTCCCTAAATTATTTATGGTACTGACCCTGTGATTCCAGCAGAGCATCTTTCCTTCCCCGGTGTTGTCTCTCACTCCCTCTTCCCGCTGTACTTTTTGCCCTCTTTTCCTCGAAGCATAATCATCACGTGGAGTGGCTTCCTGACTTTCAGATTTATTTGAATACATGGAAACCAACAGCTGCAGCATACACTGTTTTTCCAAGAGGGCTAAGCTCAGAACCTAACCATTCCAATATTGATGAAAAGTTGAATTTACTTTAGCATTACTTAATTTTTCATTTGATGGTTCTTGACTTTGTAAAAAAAATTAAATAAATGAATGTCTATACTTTTTAATAAACAAAGTGTGAAAATACCATGATACAGAGATGATGATAATATCAGATGTTTAAATAGCATTTATCTTGCATTTCTTTATTCTTTCTAATTATCTAAAATTTAATAAAAGTTTATTCATATAAAAACGTTGTCATTAATTATCATAGTATTAATGAATAGATGATTTTGTATTCCCCTTAATCTTATAAGCATTTTTCATTCTGTTAAATAGTATTCATAATCATTTTAATGAGATACAACATTCCAAAATTACTTAACTTTTGTTGTTAGATATTTAAGTCAGGTCCAATTCACACGTGCGATTGTAGATATAATGACCTTTCTTGTACATTGAGCTATTTTTATATTTCATATTTCCTGCCTTTTTCAGCCCTGAATCTTTGTCACCTGGAACAGTGTCTAATATGGGTGTTGAGTGGATACATGACTGATGATTTCTCAACTGAAGTTGCCAAGTTGAGTTCAGAAACTTATGATCATGATTGTAATAACTCTTGATAAGTAAAGGAGTTGGCAAAAGTAGATTTACTGTTGTTTATATGGAAAAAGACCTATGGGTTAGGATTATAATAATACAAGAAAAAACTGTTTTACGTACTCACAACTGTAAACCTACTTTTGTCCACCCTTGTATATTGGATCATTTATTTTAACTTTTATTTTGAGATAACTGTATATTTACACACACTTCTAAGAAATAATAGGTTTCCATATACTTTTCCATATAATTTCTCCCAATGGTAACATTTTGCGTAACTATTATCCAGTATCATAAATTGACAATCCATCAATCTTACTCAGATTTCAAGTTATATATGCTCTCATTTGTGTGTGTGTGCAATTGAATGCAGTTTTATCACATGTAGGTTCATGTGACCACCACCATAGTCAAGATGCAGAATTCCTTTTGATTCCCTTATATAGTTACAGCTACCTCCTTCTCCTCCAAATCCCTAAACCCTAATCTGTTTTTCTTCTCTATAATTTTGTCATTTCAAGAATGTTATATAAATGGAATCATGCATTATATAACCTTTGAGGATTGTTCTTATTTTTCACTCAGCATAATTTTTTGAAATCCATTCAAGTTGTTGCATGTATCAGACGTAGTCCATTCCTTTCCTTTTTATTGCTGAATACTATTCCATGGTACAGATGTACCATAGTTTGTTTAATCATCTATCCACTGATGGATATGAAGGATATTTGAGTTGTTTCCAGTTTTTGGTTTTTAAAAATAAAGCTACTATGAATATTATTTTTTTACTGTGAACATTTTTGTACAGTGTGTGAACATAAGTTTACATTTCTCTGAGATAAATGCCTAAGAGTGCAGTTGCTCCAGCACTCTTAGTGGAAAAGTCTATCCTTACTCCAGTGAATTGCTTTTACATCTTTGCAAAAAACCACTTAGGTATATTTGTGTGTCTCTTTCTGAGTTCTCTGGCTGTTCCACTGATCCTGTGTCCATCCCTCCAACGATAACATGCTGACCGCTGTAGCTGTTTAACAAGCTTTAACATTTAGTAGAGTGGTTCCTCCCGCTTCATTCTTCTTTTAAAATTGATTTAGCTATGATAGTCCCTGTACCTTTCCACATAAATTTTAGAAGAAGATTGTCTATACCTATAAAACACCTTGATGGTTTAATAGGAATTGCATTGAACCTATAGAGGAATTTGGGAAGAATTAGCATTTTTGCTATTTTGAGTCTTCCAATCCATGAACGTGGTATCCCTCCATTCATTTGTGTCTGATTTATTTCATCAGCATTTAGTAATTTTCAGGATACAGAGTCCTGTACATGTTTTGTTGGATTTATCCCTAAATATTTACTTTTGAAGCAATTATAAATGTTATTGTGTTTTAAATTTTGTTTCTATATATTAGTTTTTAGTAAATAGAAATGTAAAAAAAAAAAAAAGGAAATTTAATTGCATTATGTGTGTGGATTTTATATTCTAGAACCTTGCTGAACTCACTTTTTTCAGAGTTTGTTTCTTTTTTGTAGATGCCTGGAGATTTTCTACATACATAATCATATCATCTGCAAATAGAGATAGTTTTATTTCTTCCACTTCAATCCTGTGTGCTCCCCCCCCCCCATTATTATAATGGTTAGAACTTATAAAAGTAGTATGATATCCTCTTGTTCCTAATCTTAAGGGGAAAAGGGGAAATCATTCTTTTTTTTAACCATTAAGTGTGATGTTATCTGTAGGTTTTTATAGATTGTATTATCAGTTGAGGAAGCTTCACTCCATTACTAGTTTTCTGACAGTGTCTATTATATTTATGGGCATTGGACTTTGTCAGATGTTTTTTCTGTATTATTTGATGCAATAATGTGATTTCTTTTTCTTTAGCTTATTAATATTCTGGATTAATTAATTGACTAATTTTCAAGTGTTGAACCATCCTTGCATACCTGGAAAAAAATTCAGTAGGTCAGGGCTTGTAATTCTTTTTAAACATTGCTGGATTTGATTTGTTAATATTTTGTTGAGGATTTGTGTGTGTAAGTGCATGGAGTTCTCTGGTAAAATCATCTATGCTTGGAGATTCCTTTTTCAGCTTTTAAATTACTAATTCAATTTTTGTAATGGTCATGGGATTATTCAAGTCACCTTGATTGAGTTTTGATAGTTTTTAGGTTTTGAGAAATTGATCTGTGTCTTATAGGTTGTAATTTTTTTAGTGTAAAATTATTTGTAGTATTCCTCATTATCCTTTTAATGAGAGCAGAATCTGTACTGATACCTTGTTTTACTCCTGATAATAATGATCTGTGTCTTATATATTTTTTTATTTCTGTCAGTCATGTTTGAACCTTTGTCAATTTTATTGCTTTTTTTTTCAAATAAACCACTTTTTTGTTTTATTTTTTCCCTATAGTTCTGTTTTCAGTTTCATTGAAACTTATAATAATTTTCTTCCTTCTCCTTGCTGTGGGATTATTATTCTTTATTTCTCTAGTTTCTTGGTGGGGACAAAGATTATTGATTTGAAACTCTTTCTTTTTTCTAATGTAAGCATTTAGGGCTATAGTTTGCCCTTCGGTAGTGCTTAGCTTCATCTATATATTTTGACATGTTGCATTTTTATCTTTATTTAATTTTGTGTGTTTTAAAATCTCCTTGCCCAAAAATTATTTAGAAATGTGTTAATTTTAAGTTTGGCAAATTATTTTTGTCTTCCTGTTAATGATTTTTAGGTTGAAGTCAGAAAAATAACCTGTATTATTTTAATAATCCTTTTAAATTTGTTGAAGTGTGTTTCATGGCCTAGGACATAGTCTCTGTTGGTGCATGTTCATAGGCTCTTACATGTTTAAAAAAAATTCTCTTGTCAGGTAGAATGTTCTGAATATGTTAATTAGATTCAGTTGATTGATTGTGTTGCTCATTTTTATATCTTTACCGATTTTCTATCTAGTAATTCATTTGCTGAAAGTGGGATGTTGAAATCCACCACTATGGTTGTAGATTTGTCTGTTTCTCCTATCAGTTTTGTCTGTTTCTCGTATCAGCTCTTCTTTTTTTTTTTTTTGTGCACATATATTTAGGATCACTGTGTCTTCCTGGTGCTGTCCCTCTTTGTCTCTAGTAATTTTCTTTGCTCTGAAGTGTACTTTATCTGAATATTTACTGCATTTTTTAAATTAATATTTGCATGGTATACCTTTTTCATCCTTTTACAACATTCTTATGTTGTTGTTATGTTTGAAGTGAGTTTCTTGTAGATAGCATATTGTGGATAATAATTTTGTGTCCATTCTGCAAATATCTGTCTTTTAATTGCTATATTTAGACCTTTGCATTTAATGTAATTATTGACAGGTTTAGGACTTAAATCTGCTATTTTATATTTTGTTTTATTTTATTCTTTCCTCTATTGCTTTTTGTTAAAATTTATTGAATTTATTATATATTTTTCTTTTCTTACCTTCTTGTGGTTTCCTTA